ATTTTTAATGTATTTGGTTGTTACAGGGTATCACTATGCAGCTCAGACTCATCGTGATTCTCCTGCTTTCAGCCTCCCCAGCTCTAGAATTACAGGCGTGCACCACTGTGCCCAGACTCTGGCCCACTCGGCCCACCCTGGGGGCAGGGCTAGTGCGGCATGTGTTTCCGGGGATAGAACCCAGGTCCCTGTGCTTACCTAAGCTAGCCTGAGCAAGAGCTTTAGTCCACTGAGCTATTTGGCTGGCCCCAAGTGCATATTCTTAATCTGCAAGTTAAATTGGTCTATTTTATTTCCTTTTATGCAGTCTACTTAAATAGACTGGATAAGGGCTCCCTGAGGATATCTTTAAAGAAAGCTCCTCAAACGTAAGCACTGCATCCTGTGGGCTGGTGACGGAGGGCTACCATTATACTCTTGAGAGGCGGCAAGTATGCCCAAAGCACAGCAAGAATCACATCAGGCCAGAGAACACATTTTACTCTTGGAAATTTTAAAAATGTTGACATGAACATCAGAATCATGATGAAATGAAATCAGATATTAAAACTGAATTACGTTTTTTGCCATGTGCATTCTGAAATTACACAACGTTAAAGCAAAAGAACGTATGTAATGATAGTTAACATAGAAGGGTGACACAGAAAAACAGTGACCAAGAAACAAAACATTTGCAAGTAATAGTACAGCAATGATATTAAAACACATATCAAGTGCCTCAGCTATGAGTATTCATTATACAATCAGTGTACAGCCTTCACATTAATTCGCAGTAAAAATCTCAACTAATGCATAAAAACAGAAGATTCACTTTGAACAAGATAAAACAAAATGGATTCTCTTCCTTCCTTTTGAAGAAAGCAGTTGAGTGTCCTTGAGAAAGATGGGGGAGTCCCGCGCGCTTTCTCTTTTCCTGTCTCTTGGTTCCTGATAGAAGTGGTTTTCTCTGCGCAACCCTCCTACTGTGATGTATTGCTCTTCACAGAGCCCCAGCTATGTGGCGTTTACTTTTCTTGAATTCAACCATCAAAAGTATGAGGAAAGATTTTACTGTTCATTTCTTAACTGGATCAGTTATTTCATTGGAATAATATGAACCAGGCATTTAGTATCTTGAAAAGCGTCACATATCTACTGATAGTGCAGTACGCTGAATTGTTCTACGATCCCGTTCATATTCTGTACCTACAGAGCCCATCGTGAGCATATTAAGCCTCATTTCAGAGCACCATGAGAACTTCTAGAAAGCATACCTGACAACAGTGCTGACAGTGGTGACGGGTGATCCTATGAAGGCAGGTGCCACAGAAGAGGACAAAACAGGGATGCAGGGGAGAAAATGATCAGAGTTAAACCATGGAGCAAAAGGGAAAGGAAGTAATGACTAAAATATTATAGTTTTTCCCCTTTAAATTAGCTAGTTTTTATTGCAAAGTTATTTTCCCTATATAGGGCAAATTTTTAAAATTCAAAAGTAACATTTAGGTTTATAATTCTGCATATATGAAAAAAATATATATAAAGATATAAGGGGTTTGACCTAGCTATAAGTAACCAAGTGAAAGATAACCAAAATGTAGAAATCAAAGTTCTACAGGAATATTTTTCTCAATTAATTACTTTATATTCATTATGACATTTGAATATTTAGAACAGGTTGTCCAAGGAAAATGTATAAAATAAAACAAGGGAAAATAATATTGTCAGGAAGGTAATAAATAATAATTTTAAAGGAGAGAATTAATACAAATATGAAGAATTCTGAGATCCAAAATACAGTTTTAGTATTGACAGAAACTGTGCACCTCCTCTGCCAGCTCCTGCTCAAACTGGAAATTGGAATTTTCTATTGCTCAGCAGATTACTCCTGTGGAAACAGTAGAAATTATAAAGAATGCCCAAGGCAAGCAGAAGAGAGAAGGCCTGGAACAACATCTGCTCATTTTTCTGCAACCCTCTCTGCCCCATGAGTTACCCCAGCAGAGCCCAGCCAAAGACACGTATTATTTTAAAATCCCCTGATGAGCACCCACCTCCCACCACATTCGCGCTCCATTTCAGCCCCACACTACACAGCCACAGTGCCAGGATAATACCAAGGCAGGGAGCCTGGCTTCCTTTTATGGAAATTTATTTTCACAGACCCAGGTATGTTTTGCCTAATGCAGTGTGAATTTTAGACTCGTGCAGTTAGTGTAGCTACTATTAGCATCTTATCTGTGTGAGTTTCAGCACAGAGCTCATGTTTAAGAAGCATGCCAGACTCTCAGCTCCCCTACAGGTGAAATTATTGGCTACCTCTGCCTAATCACACACCCACAGTCTGGGTGTCAGTGCACACAGTAGATGTGTACCTATTTACAATAGATAAATGTAAAATTATAGAATATTAATCTAGAGAGAAAGAGAGAAGGCGGATTTTACAGTTCAAGATTGCAGTGCCATTTCGATCAGACATCTCCCTAAACATTTCTTATGCTACATATGCACATTAAATTATACACAGCATCATTATCATATACTCTGTAAATCTTAAAATTATATTATGAAGACAATGTAATATAATTTTATAATGTAATACATATATGATATGATTATATTATGAAATAAGTTTGACCAAATATTAATTTTATTGTTTTAAAATAAGAAAATGGAGATACTGAAAGAGGGAGATTTCACATCATCAGCAAGGGCTGAGGATGCTTCCACCCTTTTGCTCTGGTTTCTTAGGCACAGATTTTGTTCCCATGCTTCTGGTTATGTAACAGCAGTTCTGCCTTCATGGTGTGCACCACAGATTACTGTGGAAAAGTAGAAAGAAGGCCAGAATAGTTAATAATAAATT